ATCCATCCAGCATCTTCCCAGGTAGTAGGGAAGTTGTGTGACAGGTAGTAGGGAAGATGTGTGACAGGTAGTAGGGAAGATTTGGTTGACAGAGAGAAACACTATAGACAAATGATATATCACTATTTACAAACACTATTAGAACAAATCCTTTTATTCATTAAGAGAATGTAACTATATATCTATCCTAACCATTTTGAATACACAGATACAAAATGGACATTCATCTGCATCCCCTTTTTGTTTAGTTCCGTTATTGGAAAATTATTGGTATGTTAACCCAGCAAAATATTCTAAAAGAGTCCAGTAGTCCATAATAGTACCGGGTCATCCACTTTACTGGCAATGTCAGAAATTGTTGACCTGATTCACCTACAGCTCAACCTAACAGCATGGCTTTACTTCTTATACTTCGTTTTTATACTTTTCTGCTGGATGGTTAAGAACAAGGTAAAGCGGGACCTATGCAACAAGAGTTGTAGCTTTTAAGTCTGATAAGGTCAGTGAAAATAAATGACCTTATCAGACCCTCAGGATTTATCGTGAGATCCTGTACCTCAGATTGTAGAACCTTTGTCAGTGTCAGCCATGTGGATGAGTCACGGTCATTACTTGGCCAATGTGCTCTCTGTGAAAGCCTGAGAGAATATTTTCTCTCCATATGACTCTTCTTAGGGACACTCTACATCATTGATCACTTTCCTCTTTGGCCCCATAATCTCCTTGATCAGAAAATTTGGGATACTACTGAGTTACATGACGTTTCAGTACAAGTTCTCATATGCTCTGAGACTTAATTGACGTTGGAATTCTAGGGCCAAAATTTTGGCTTTCCTTGTGGCCCTCCTTTTTCTCTCATTTTGGTCTGCAAACTTAGGTTGTTAACCCTCCTGAAGACAAGCTTACTGTTATTACCATACAACCTAGGCTGTTAAGCTTAACCTCACCATCTGTCTGAATATCAAAAAGCTTAGGCATAACATGAAATAGTATTTTTCTTCAAGTATTGCTATGTTGAACTTTAAATCCCTACAGAATATGATGGAAAAAACATTTAAAAATTAGAATATATTTTTTTAAGAATAGGCATAATGAATTATATAATTCTTATATTTACACATAAGTCCAAAAATCTAACCATATACAAACTTGAAACAGGAGAGTCCCACAACTTCCCTTTTCTTGTCTCCTGCCTTGATTCACTCTTCCTTTTGAAAAATCATCTACCCGAGAGACAGCATAGCAGCAACTGGCATGTCATGACTAGCAGCCCATATTCAGAAGACCAGAAAGACAGGCACTCCAAGCATGAACCTACTATTACAAATTGCCATCTTCAGGGTTGTCGCTTAGTACACAGGTGTCAGTATATATAGTTAGTCAGGGTGAGAATCTTTCCAATTAACTGCGAGATTCAAAAATTTTCTGGAGGTTCTCAGGATCATTGCCTTGCCCGTCTTCTACATAGAACTGTATGGCTTGACACTGTCATGTTTCCTAGCTCTTCTCCTTTCCCTCTCTTAGTTAGTCCTCAAGTTCTGGCTTTCATTTTACTTGTATTACACCTTTCTATTTGCATTTCTTTTTTTTTGAGTCCTTATACTAGGGAGACTATACAATATTTACACATGTGTGTCTGGTTTATTTCACTTATGAGTATATCTTCAAGTGGCATCCACATCAGGGTAAAGGTTTTGAGTATATCATCCTTCATAACTGAGTTATACTCCATTGTACAAAAATATCACATCTTTTTCATTTATTACTCAGGTGATGGGCATCTTGGTTGTTTCCAAAATTTGTCTATCATCAATTCTGCTGCTGTAAACATAGGCATACATATATCACTATAATATGATATTTTCAGACCCTCCAGAAAATTTCTCAGTAGAGGAATAGCTAGTTTAAATTGGACTTCCAGTCCAAGTTTTCCAAGGAGTCTTCACATTGATTTCCATAATGGTTGCACCATTCAACATTCCCACTAGCAGTAGAGAAGGGTTCCTTTTCCCCCACAGCCTCTCCAACATTTGTTGTTGGGTGATTTCTTTATGATAGCCATTCGTTCTGGGGTGAGATGATATCTCAATGCGGTTTTAATTTGCATTTCATAGATGGCTAGTGATGTGGAGGATTTTTTCATATATTTATTCACTTCTTTAATTTCATCCTCCGAGAAGTGTGTGTTCATCTCAGATGCCATTTCGTGACTGGGTCTTTAAATATTGGGGCCTTAGTGTTCTTTAGTTCCTTATAAATTCTAGACAGCAGACTTTTGACTGTGTACTTTTTTGTCGTGATGTTTTTCCAAATTTGTGGAATGTTTTTTCATTTTGTTGGTAATTTCTTTGACGTGTAAAAACTTCACAGTAAGAGGAGGTCCTCGTTGTTAATTCTTTCAAGTATTTCCTGTGCAATTTGATTTTTGTTCCTGAAGTCTTTGCCTACCCCTATGTCTTCAAGAGTTCCTCCTACTTTCTCTTCCATGAGATGTAGTGTTTCTGCTTTAATGTTTAGATCTTTAATGAATTTTGCCTTTAGCTTAGTGCATGTTGATAGATCTGGGTCAAGTTTTAGTTTTTGGCACGTAGATAGCCAGTTTTTCCAGCACCATTTTTTAAAGAGACTATCTTTCTTGCAGTATGTTTGGCCCGTTTGTCAAAGATAAGGTGACTGAGTGTGTTTGTAGGGGATTCAGCAGTTTCTAGTCTATTCCACTTATCCTCTGGTCTATTTTGTTGCCAATTCCACGCTGATTTTATTACAGTAGCCTTGTAGTATAATTTCAAGTCAGGAATTGTAATGCCTCCTGCCTTATTTTTATTGCCCAGGATTGCCTTTTCTACTCTACGTCTTTTCTGGTTCCAGATAAATTTTAGGAATCATTTCTCTAGCTCTGTGAGGTATGTTGGTGGTAGTCTGATAGGGATTGTATTAAGTCTGTACAGCAATTTTGGGAATATGGCCATCTTCACAATGTTGGTTCTTACTATCCAGGAGCATGCAATATCTTTCCATTTTCTGAAATCCTCTACGATCTCTTTTTTCAGAGTACTGTAATTTTCCTTGAAAAGATCTTTGACTTCTTTAGTTGGATGTATTCCAAGGTATTTCATTTTCCTTGGTGCTATTGTAAAAGTTATTGTTCCTATAATTTCCTTCTCAGTGTGTTTGTTGTCTGTGTAGAGGAATGGTATTGACTTTTGGGTACTGACTTTACAACCTGCTATGCTACTGAATTTCTGTATTAATTCTAGTAGCTTCTTAGTGGAGTTTTTTTGATCTTCCAAGTAAAGTGTTATGTCATCTACGAATAATGATAATTTAACTTCTTCTTTACCTATTCTTATTACTTTTATTTCTTTCTCTTGTCTAATGGCTCTAGCTAATGATTCCAGAACTATTTTGAATAGGGGTGGTGATAGAGGTATCCTTGTCTTGTACCAAATCTAAGAGTAAAAGATTTGCGTTTTTACCCTTTTAGAATTATGTTAACCATTGGGTTTTCATAAATGGCTTTTACCTAATTGAAGTAGAGGCCATCTATCCCATTTGTCTGTTGGACCTTGAAGACGAATGAGTGTTGGATTTGTCAAAATCCTTTTCTGCATCAATCAAAATGATCATGTTGTTTTTAGTTTTCGCTCTATTCATGACAGATTTATAACAGCCTGTTTCATGAATAAGATTTCCAAATACCCACATGCTGCAAATATTGTGAATTATGGGGTAGTTAAATCATTCTGTATTTTCATAATGTCATCTTTAACATTCTCAGAATATGTGTTACATGACAAACGTAACATTCGAACAAGGAAGTTTATCAGTGTCAGTGTACATGAATGAAGTCATTCAGAGTCATTTAGGGATTTTCATTTATAGACTCCATTTAGGAGGATGCAGTGGTGAGAAGTTGGGGAAAGTGGAATCCTCAGCTGGTAAAATGCAGAGAATTCCCTTTAATGAAATAATAGAAGCTCAATGGAAGATGTTAGAAAGTGCACAGATGCAGAGAGGACTTAGCGGCAGCATTGCTTTTCCTGTTGTTGGCAAAACAGGTGAGTGTATGAGACAGCAGTGGTGAGGGACTGTGCATCCATTGGCCCCATCTCCTGGGACTGTCACTTGCTAGAGGCGCAGCTGTAGAAGCCCCAGAGCATCTATATTTCTCTAGTGTCCTCATTGGTGTACTAAAAAGAAATTTTCTCTTTGTTCAATGAATACAGAAGCATTTGACTAACAAAATGCAAAAGTTTTGGTGCCTTAGTGTCCTGGTTCACAATGCCAGGCTATGTGTTAAAGACAACATAATACCTTTTTTGACTCAAATACACATACTTATCTCCAGCCTAAGACAACACACATTCTCCCATTGGGGGAAATGCTTTGCCACATGTCTGAATACAGTGCTTTGAATTTGATTTCAGATAATCTGTGCAGTGTGGACGAGTATGATGAAATCACCCTGGATCCCAGGTAAGAGTGAATGATCAGCAGCACATAAGCAAGTGAGATATCCAGTGGGTTGTGCAAATGTCAGGAACATGGGTCAAAGTTGTCACAAACTTCAATGACAAAGAAAGAGGGCTGCTGCTGGTTCTGTGATTTCATCTTGCACTGACACCATGGCTCCTTTGGAGTCCTTACAGTTTTCTCCATGGGAATTGGAGTGTGAGTCTGACCTCCAGGAATGAGACATTGTGGGAATTCCTGCCCTTAAAGAGACCATGTTTTCCATGCATGGGTAAAACCAGAATACAGTACACATTTTGTTTGGTATTGTTGGAGTAAGGCCATGACATATGTGCCCTAAGAAACAGCAGAC